TGAGTTAGCAGCACTCAAACTCAACTCCTTACCATTAAGTCATTAGGTAAAGCATATAACAGTAGGGAGATAAGTACTTCTTGGAACAATCAAGCAAAAGAGATAAAGCTCAGAAAGTGGAAAAAGGAGGAAATAAGGACAAATGGAAAACATAAACACACAGAGGAAGAGTAAAGAAAGCTGTTATACGGCGAGGATTACAATCAAAGGGTGGGAAAAATGTGCATGAGTTTTCAAATGGAAAACCAACTTGCTCTGTAAACTTTCCCCCAAATAACAATTAAAAGGCTAAAAAAAAAGGGAAGAAAAAGAATTAATATTAGCATTTAGTACTAGAAATTGTTGTAGCTATTGCTGATTGCTGTCAAGTTGAACACTACTCATAATGACCCTATGAACAAAAGGCCTGAAGCCTTTCTATAACTTATCATCGTTTCTCAAAGTTCATAGAGTTTCCAGAGGCATGTTGTTTAGGAAGTGGGTGCCACTTCTGCTTCCAAATCTGTCTGTTGACTCTAAACAAGAGTTTTAAATAAAAAAAAAATAACCAACCTAGTATGTTGTTGTTGTTATGTGTTGTTGAGTCAACTGCAGCCCATAATGACCACTATGTACAACAGCTCTGAACACTTCCCTGTCCTAAGCCAGTCTCACTAGTTCTGACACATCAACTCCCGTTGCTCCAACTACTGTACCAATTCATCTTATCTGGGGTCTCCTTCTCTGGCGCCGTCCACCCACCCTTCCAAGCATGATGTCCTTTTCTAAGGACCAATCTCTCCAGGCCATATGCCCAAAGTATGTGAGATGGAGCTACAAAATCCTAGCCTTCAAGGAGAGACTTGGTTTCACTCTCTCCACGACAGACTTATTTGTTTTCTTGGCAGTCTGTGGCATGTTCAAGACTCTTCTCCAGCACCACATCTCGAAGGCATCAATTCTTCTTCTGTCATCCTTAGCCATTGTCCAGCTCTCTAATGCATAACAAGTAACTGTGAATACTGTGGCCTAGATTAGGTGCACCTTAGTCTCTAGACTCACATCATTGCTTTTCAGCACTCTGGAGAAGTCCCTGACAGCAGAAATTTGAAATTAAACATTTTCCTGGGATTCATAAATTGTTTTTGTAGTTATACATACTTAAGATTGATTCTTTTCTTTCTTTCCAATCAAAATGTCTTATGAATCCCAGGAAAGTTCTTAATCCTTAATTTCTAGTTGTTGCTGTCGACAACAACTAGAAATTAAACCATTTAAAAAACCCAGAAAATAAGTGATGTAGTTGTGGATAAGAATTTAATCAAGTCATCTTAGGAGATGCAATTCATAGTGATTTTTCTAAAGGAAAGAAGACATCCTTTTTGGTGAAGTCATCAATTTACTAAATGGTAATTTAAATACAATGAACATTTCTGCAATCGTTCCTGAAATAAGTGGTTTTCTTTTCCACAGTATTCTCTCAGCTCTGCTATTGAACTGATTTTATGGTGATAACCTTGTGTGTTAAGTATCTAGGTGAATCAACCAGTGCAATAGAACTCACATCATTCTAGAGGAGTAAAATGAATGCACAGCTAATATCTTGCTTAAGGCAAAATGAGGTAAACTTGGAGCATGTGTAGAGTAGGCAACTAATCTCTACCCACGTGGGATGCGGTAAATGATGGGATTTAACCACAAAAGAACAACATTTCAGAGCGAAATTAACCATCAGGTGTGGGTGGGCAATTAACTCCAAACTGTAGGAGCCAGCTCTTTGCTGTAGAATATTCATTAAATTCCTTAATTAAAAAGTACTCATATCTGCATAATTTAAGGACATTTTCTATCAGTTTCAAAGAGTTCTTGACAGTCTACAAGTGACTCATAATTCTTCAGAAGTTATTTTCTGTTCATACCAATTAACAATGCAGAAATAGAACAGAGCTAAAGTATAGTTGGGACAACCCACAGCACTTTTTGGGAAAATGTGCACATTGTAGGTCTCCTTCATTCACTCAAGTAGTTAGTCTCTGGTTTCTATACTGAATGCTTACACTAACCACTCTACTAACAGACATAAATAAAGTGGGGACAAGAAAAAATACTAGCCCTTGTTGTCAATGGCTCATATTCAAGCAGAGATATAAGTTATTTGAATTAGTAACTCTCAATGACTTCATCTTATATGGATCAGCGAACAGCACTCTTAATAGAAGCAGTCAAGACATAAGGACACATATTGCACTGGGAGAGTCTGCAATCAGGGAACTCTCCAAATTATTGAGGAGCAAAGATGTCAGTTTGAGGACTAAGGTGTGTCTGATTCACTCGTTCTCATCATTCACTAAGCATCTAAGAGCTGGACAATGAACAAGTATGACAGAATGATTGATGCTTTTGAGCTGTGATGCTGGAGAAGAAGATTGAACACGCCATGGACTGCCAAGAGAACAAACAAGTATGTCTTGGAGAAAGTACAGCCAGAATGTTACCTGGAAGCAAAGATGATAGAGCTTTACCTCACATACTTTGGTCATGTTGCTAAGAGAGGCTATTCTTTGGAGAAGGACACGATGCTTTGAAAAGCAGAGAGTTGATGAAGGAGAGGAAGACTCTCAAGCAGGTGGATTGACACAGTGCTGCAATGGGCTCTAGTGTATCAAGAAGTGTGATGATGGCACAGGTTAAAAGAGGGTTCAGATCTGTTGTTCATAGAGTCACTATGGGTCATACTTGATGGCACCTAACAACATGTCTGCTTTTGAAATCAGGTTGTATTTCTGTCAATTTTAGCAATAAGTTGTTGCAACTGTCTTTTAATTATATTCAGCAAAATCTTATTTATCTATAATATTGAAGATATTTTCCATATTCTGTTGG